TGCTACTGATGTTGGCATACCGCCAAGTGCGTAAGTACTTTGAGGATTAAAGGTGCCGTTGCCTCTGTTGAGAAGAACGCCGGTGGTATTTGAACCACCGTTTGCAACAATAATATCAGGTTTATTATCACTATTTACATCGATGACTGCTACGGATCGTGGATTATGTCCAACTACGTAAGTAGTTTGAGGATTAAAGGTGCCGTTGCCTGTGTTGAGAAGAACACCGACGGTATCTAAACCATAACTTACAACAACAATATCGGATCTATTGTCGTTGTTCACATCGACGACTGCTACTAAAAATGGGTAATTATTAACTGAATACGCAGTTTGAGTATTAAAGATGCCACTGCCTGCGTTGAGAAGAACACCGACGTTGCCCGAATTCCAGCATGCAACAACAATATCAGGTTTATTGTCGTTATTGACATCGACGACTGCTACCGACTGTGGACCAGTGCCAACCGAGTAAGTAGTTTGAGCATTAAAGGTGCCGCTGCCCGTGTTGAGAAGTACACCGACGTTATTCGAATCGAAGTTTGCAACAACAATATCGGGTTTATTGTCGCTATTCACATCGACGACTGCTACTGATACTGGGTTAACACCAACCGAGTAAGTAGTTAGATTAAGAAACGTATTGCAGCCTATTAAATACAAAAAAGTTTGCTATCACATGAAACTAAAGGTTTCGTATTTTACTACGAAACCTTTTTCTAGTGTCCTGAACTTAAGAAAAGGTTTCGCAGAAGAGGGTTCTGTCCCCCTCTCTACACACGGGCCGATCCTTTAATGATTTCGTAGAGTTTTTTATTGTGTTTTTCAGACATTCAACATGTCTGAAGACTTTTTCGTTGCGACGAAACTTTTTTGAGGGTTAAGTAAAGCACCAATTGTTTTTAGAGTGTGGACAGTATTCAATCATCCTATTTTGTTCAATCTTTGAGAGTTTAACGTCATTGAACATAGCTTATTCGAAAAAGATCATGTCACTGAATTTTGGACAATTTCATATATTCTAAAGCATAACTAAAGTCAGTTTTCAGCCATTCTGCCCAGCTCTATGTGAAAACTTCTCGTAAATTTGAAAAATCAACGAAATCATCTTACTCTACTTACAACTTGCGCTCGTTTTAATAGAATTTTACGAAATTCTCGACTAAGAGGCCGCAGAATACTTTTCAAGCAGAATTCAGAATTCTATACATGTATCCATAATTTTATTTCAACATATATATCATTCCTTTTTTTCAATTACATTATGATATGGAATTCTATAAACAATATGATAATTATGTGTCACATAAACCAATAATATTTCTACAAAATTCTGAATTCTACTTTTCAAGTATATTACAATTTCCTGTGCACCCACACGCTATTCTCCTTTTCGTCGAGAACAGCTCAACAAAAATAAACTATCTATTTGCGTATTGCGGACCTGTTTTTCAGTATTTTGCACAGGTGTGCATGGAGTTAAAAGCGGAATTACATAAGAGTCTACTAGATGTTATAAAATTAAATCGAGCTAAGCATTACACATTTTAATTATTATAAGTTTTGTTCTCCAATACTTACTATACAAATGGATGTACTTTTCCGATTCGATTACAATTCTCTCACGACTTTATACATGCAATATAAGTCTCCACCAATGTTGACTATGGAAGAATACAAGTTACAATCAATAAAACTTCTAATGATTAGTCTGGCTTATTAGCACAGCATCTAATAGACTCTGTACAGCTTCCTACTGATTGATCGAAAACCATTTCAAGAGCAAAAAATGAAGAACGCAGGTGGACGAGACTAAATATGGACCAGCGAGGAGCAACCAAAGGAAAGTTAACAACAACGAGGCTTAGTTATTGTTGACAAAATCCTTGTTAAGCTACTATACTCTAGCGCTATGTTACTATTGAAATTCTTTTGTAAAACTTGAACGAATGGAATTGTCAGTGTTAAGTCCGAATCAACGTCAGTTTTATTAATGTCGGCTCTCGCAGCGGAAGTCTGTACCAACAACACAATGAATATATTTTGTTATGTCTAGATATGACACTCGTCCAAGAAACAGCTGAGGCAATCTCCAGACGAGTATTATTTGTTTATCGAATGATAAACATTTGAACGATGAAATCTCAAATGTTTTTTGGTTAGTGAAACTAATCATCGGCTTGAAAGCTACAAAAAGGTACAACACATTATCTAGCATATTACTGACCGGCTGTTGTTGTTGACGACGTGGATGATGAAGTAGTAGACGACGTGAATGATGTTGTTGTTGATGTTGATGATGAAGTACTTGATGTTGTTGCTGACGATGTAGACGACGTTGATGATGAAGTAGT